ACTACAAGGATCCATTCCTTCAGTCCTAGCTAACCAAAGGCAAGTAATATCATAGGACGTCTCTCACAGCACCAATGAAGGTGCGCAATGCATGTGACATGCAGTAGGAATTGGGACATGGTAGTTTGCATCCATAGGGGGACTCCAATATGGAACCCAATCTACTCTCTATCTTTATGACAAGGACCCCGAAAACCCCAGTCTCCCTTTAATCTTCCATGTTCCTTTCCAGCTAATTCTCTATATTAGGGGTACTATCCCTGAACCCTAAGCCCTGCACCCTAAACCCTATCCATTTTCTTGTCCCTTCCTACATATCCCTACAGAATATTGCGTAACTACGGAAAAAAGCCCGAAGGCTGACGTCTGCCTGTCATTGCAGATGACCGTGTCTTGGATATCAGACCAAGAAAGTAGAATCAAGTGGAAAAGAACTTGGAGAACGAAATGGAATCTACTATTTAGAATTTGGGGGTTTCAGCTGCTCATGTACTTCATGAATTGCTTCATCATGGCCCACGGTCTGCTGATTCTTTAGCAATGATTACATTTGGCGAGGCGTTAGTTTCAAAGATCATCCTTATATAATCCCCACGTGGAGCCCACATAATCCCTGTCTTAGCAGGTCGCATTGGCTTGCCCTGCAGTGTGGTGAAGAAGCCTTACTTGCGATTCCTTCCATCTGTTCGAACTGTTTTCTCCGTCTTCCGCCACCATATCCCTGACGATCACGATTGCCCTGAACGATCGGGGTCCTTGTCAACCCCCTATTACAAATTTCTTATACTCTCTAACACGGTGCAGTCACTTCCGTGGATTGGGCAAATTGATGGCAAGTTCACAGTAGCATTAACATCCGTTCCTCTTCTTATTTGATCCTTGCACGGTAAGCAGACGAAATGGACTGCCATTTGCATCAAGCCCATTTGCCAACACCCCTGTGATTTTTGGACAGCAAAGGTAAAACAATCCCATTGGAAATGGCGTCAAATTCCAAGGCACAATTCATCAGAACTTCTTGAACGGTCCTTGAAGAGCCGCTCCTCAGAAAGTTGAAATGTCTCTTGCTTTCAGCCTGCAACCTACGGAAGCAGGGGCCCCTACGTGTAGACGAGAAGATCGCCTTATTTTGAAGGCCTTCTTCCAGAACCCAAGGAGACTCAGGAGACCATACGAGTAAGGCCAGCACCGCAAGTAATCAATCTTCTTGAGGCATGATCTAGCTCAAATCCCTCAAAATTCATTTGCTAGTGCTCTACTCTGAATGAAAACGATGACAATCTCTTTGTTCATTAAACTGCATGTTGCTTCGCAGTCCGGCTGTCATGCCCTGGTTTTTACAACAAACTAAGCACAGCTCTCCCACGCCTTGCGGCAGCCCCGAGCAAAGACCGCAAAAACGAGGGGAAGAACGCAGTCCCACTGTCAGGAGAACGAGAGTGTGACTAGAATGGACTCCAAAATCCGATGACCTGTTTTGATTTTAGGCTTGCCTACTGGTATTCAGTCAACGGCATATGGTAAAACTGCGTCTTCCTTCGCATGGCAAGTCATTGGGAACCTCAAGTAGAGATATATCATGATTCCACCAAACGTTTCGCAGCAATTGAAAGAAGTCACTTTTGCTATCTAGACAACTATATGTTAAACTAGAGACCAACGTCAACTGCAAGTCCAATGTTTCTTTGCAGACTATTCAACAGAACTCACAATTTCTCTCATATGACATTAGGACATTTATTCGATACTTTGTTTTCGTTAGTTCGACTCAAACTGCTTTTGTCCCTTGTGGAGAATTCTCAAAATGCCAGGCCGACGGACCTTTCACAGGGGATATGGGGTTGGCTTTCGAGTTGGAGTTTTGTTGTGTGTAAATTACAGGGCGAGAAAATTTTGGCTTTTATGTGCCTCTACTTGAGCTTAGACATGCCACTACGTATGCCTCTAATTACTTGAGTTTCCTTACGACGTCTGTGTCCTTACAATTGTCACATGATGGAGGAGACAGTTGAGCAAATATCCTCATGTGAACTTCTGTGTACGAGTACCCTTGACCTCCGAACTGCAAGGCGTAAAAAGTCGTATTCGAACATGTTCTACTTTGGTTTCCCTAAGCCAGCGCTTTCTTTCAATTGCTCTGCAAACAACGACTAGACTTGACAAACGTCGTTACTTGAATTCCTCGCCTCCTTGAAGTGCCAGGCAAATAAGAGGTGGATTCAAAATCCAAGTCCAAAATCAAATTTGCCTGTGTCAGTGTGTTCTTTTGATTACAAGGAAAAGCACATGAAAACATATGTCCCGCTTGAACCTCCATGTTATCTAATCCTTTTTCATAATTGCGAGGCGAAGAGGGGTGGTTTTAACAAACATGTTTGGTTGAGCTTTCCTGATAGGTAGCATGTAGCATTCGAGTCTTTGGCTCGCGGGTCTTTCGTTTGACTCCTCCGTCTGACTCGTGCTTTTCCTTCGTGTGACTCGTATTTTTTTTCGTTTGGCTGGAGCTTCGTCGTGCCGACCCCTGGTACAATCTGCCCAGGCACGTAGTGGCCGACCAGCTTTGCCTCGTCATGGAGACATTGAAGGTAACTTCAGCCCTTAGGGACCCTCGGATTTATGGGATGATTAGGCAGAGACTTGAAGAGGGTAGCAGCGCTTGCTCCTAGTAGCAGCAGATGCAGCAGGGGCGGTCGCATTGTCGATGGCAGCGGCGGCGGCGGTGGCGGCGGCGTTGGCGGCTGCGGCGAAAGAAAAGGACAATGAATACTTGTTAACGACTTACTGCCATTTCCAGAGCCTTGTCTAACTGTTGTCTTTGTTCACCTCCTGATCGCAATAGCAGTGGCCGGTGGCAGTGGAAGTGGCAGTCAGTAGCATGCGGTGCGCTAGCCGCGAGCCTCTTCTTGAATTTTGATTTCTGATGTGGGCAGATTTAGGCAGTGAGTCTCTTCACGCAGCCAAGTCACTGTGCTTCTTTGGCGCTGATGGGTGACAGCACACCACGCCTTCAAGGTCGCAGTACGCAACACAAGCAAAACAACACAATGCTTCGTGCCATGAGTCCCCAAGAAAAAATGATGCCCCAATCTCACACCTCACCTACCTCTGGCCTTTGTGAAGCGGCTTTCGGAAAACATTGCTTATAGCATGTCCAGATAGAAGATTCATCAAACTTGGAAGATAGAGCATGACTCTTGAACCGACTGACTGTGGATTACAACTGGCCACTGCCTGCAACGCCGAGCGCATTGCTGCGACATCAGCACCGCGTGCGTAGAGCGTGATGAGGGCCATAACCCGATTGCCTTGCTGCTCAAGGCTTGCTCATTCTTCTGGGACACTGCTGATCTCATGCATTTATGGGCGCGCTTCAGCTCTCTCCTGAAGCCTGAGCAGGATGCGGGAGAGCTCACGGGCGGTGCTGCCGCACTCGCCTAGCGAATCGGAAATAGAAAGGCTGAACGACTGCTGTAAGACCTTGAAAGACCATCAGCGTGAAACTTCCATCAGGCAGCTTTTATCACCTTGATGGCGAGCGAGTCGTGCATGGAGTGCCAGACTTGCTGGAGATCCGCTGGCACCTCCCAGCTTGGCTTCGAGCTCTGGAGCAGGCGTGATAACACATCTGAGGGCTCGACTGCTGCCAATGCAGGAGCCGGCACTCGCACAACTGTAGGGTCGTCCTGCCGGTCCCAAGTTGCTAGCATTTGCTAATGAGGCGGCTACGCATGCTACGCGTTGGAAAACGGAATTGGCCTCTGAGTTTTTGGTGCAGCTCGCAAGTGCCAAAGTGCCTTGGCAACGGCGGAGCCAGTTATTGCTGCTAATGCCGCTGGCTGACGGCTCTCCGAAAAGGTGTGTACACCAGGCTCAGAAATGGCTGCACAAATAAGATGCAGCCATAATGATGGCACTTGCTGTTGGCTGCTGGCACAAGACTGTTTAAAGCAAACAAGCATTGCAACACTGGGTGAAGCGGCGAATCACCACGTTGGAAAGAACTCCCCTCCTGGCTGTGCACACAGCCGCCTGCACAAAGCGGAACAGATAACACTGTGCAACAAGCTGTGCTGCCAATGACACAGCACTGACAACAGGATGCAAAGAAGCACTATTACCATTACTATTACTATTACTATTACTATTGCTAGTATTATTATTGCTATTATTATTACTATTATTATTATCATTATTTTTAATATTAGAATTATTACTACTATTACAAAAGCCGCCTCCGCAGCCCTTTGGCGACAGCTCCGGGCTCCGCCCCCGGCCGCGTATCAGGGTCCCTGACGAATG